TGCAAAAGCATAAAACAAAATAATTTATTACTATAAAAAAATCGATTTATAGTTTGATCCTATTTATAGTTTGAATGTACACGCGATGCAATTCGAAAGTGATTTGTCCTAACTAATGCGAGCATCTAAGAATCATAGAAACGATTCTCGATTTGGTCAATCAAGGTTAACGATGCGAAAGATTAACGACATCGTTTCGCACAATGTTGCAGAGGCAAGGTTTTCCAATTATACAAAGATATATAGGCTCTACAAAGCTACTTAAACTATGTACAACTCGAACAACTATCCGTGTTAAATCCAACAATTTCTGAATAATCTTATCCACGAAACAATCATCGTCTCTGTCCCACACGATTTCAATCATCCACTGTTTAACACGTGTCAGCCTTTCGTGAATCATCATCATCATCATCATCTTAATTCCATTAAGTCCTCGCAAAAACCAACCTACGCTTTGGATTCCCCTACTTATGGATCGCGACCCTCGAATAGGATCTCGAAGTGTTTTCCTTTTTTGAGCATAATTCTTCTGAATTAACATTTATGAAAAAAATACATTATAATAATTAAGATATTCCATTATTTGAAATTGGAAGGAAGGGGTATTATTCCAATCTTATTTATTATACGAAACAGGATTGCGATTCTAAACGTTATCTCAACGTTATATCAACGTCTACAACGATTTTAATCTAGCATCCGGCACTTGAAAGAAAAATTAATCCGAATTATTTCCTAGCCACGATTATTAAAATAATGCGAAAAGATAGGACCTTTCGACCCACACCCTGGGTGTCTGGGCCGGCTGCAGCCCGGGTGTCTGACTCAACCGGAAGTTGGCCGGGCACCCCTCTTCCTTCGTGCCACTTCTTCTCCCTGCATCGCGGCTACCTGAAGCCGCATTACGCATAATGGGCGTACAGTGTACGCATAGACGAATATGCACGCGCTTATGGGGGGGATCATGGATGAAAGAACGAGGGAATGTTTGCGAATGGGTCGCTCGTTCGGCACGGGCCATGGATCTCTACCGAACCGTGAATCGCACGAGTCAGATCTCTGAGTTCATCTACGAAATTGAGCACGAAACGATTCGAATATATATTTTTTATCGTGTTTTATTTATTAGAAAATTTTTTAAAATTTGTGCAATTTGTTCCTTTGATTATCCATTTATAATGAAATGTTGAAAATAGAAGTTTCTTACTTGAATACGAATAAAAATCGCTGTATATTGTATGCGTATAATTAGTCAATTGTTATGATTGTCATAATTGACGAATTTCCATATGTGGTATGTATAATTTTGTTTTACAATAGTGGCAAAATTACACTTGTAAGGATCGTGTTTACAACAGATCTCTTTGAGAGAATGATGATTAGCTATTAAATATCAATTTAAGGACGATTGGAAAACGTCATTTCTTAAAAAAAAAGAAAAAAAAACGTACAAACCTCTCTCGAGAAATTACTTTAAATATCATCAATCTTAAACCTGTTATATTCGTTCCATCTTACATTTCATATTCATATCTCTACGAATTATTTCACAATAATGTTACGTTCACGCAGGTGTCTACTAGAATTTTCGATCAAGCAACGGTATAAAAGACCTGTGTTTTCCTTGCTTCACGAGCAATCCTGATCAATGCGATGAATGCAGCCTAATAACTAATAACCCCATGAAAAATACGAAGAATAAAACCGCTCTCACACCGCCGTACACGCAAGAACCATAATAAAACTCTTCCAAACGACAACCTACCTATATAAGTAATATACATTCAATGCTTTTATTTCACTTGGAGAAATGACAAATTCTAGCATATCTCCGTGCAAGAAATGACAGCATATTTGTGTTCTTGCATTCTTTTCATTTTCTTCTCTGTTCGGAGACAGACTGTGTGGGGTCCGATAATGATGAAATAAAAGTTGTCGCAGCGTGTTTTATGGTAACTGGTTATTGCAGTAATGTATCGTGTTGGAATTAATGCATCGATCGAACAATGCCAAGGACGACATCTGCGGAACATTCTGAAAAAGGATCGGAATAAAGAGGTCGAATGTTAAAATCGAAGGGTAGCGTATCAAGGATACGAAGAAAATGGAGGCCAAGCTGTGAGCTTGTTATCGTTATGCATAATCATCGTGTTATTAAAGACCATCCAAGGGAAGAGAGATGGATGAATTTGTCGGAAGCATTTACTTTTTATAACAAGGTCATAAAATTATCCCTCCGTATATATAAGTTGTCCATACTTGCTCAATTTTCATTCCAGATTCGATACATATATTGAAAGCATACAACATTGTTATTGGTGCATAATAATTTCCAAGTCGATTGCATCAACCACACCGCTATATTATGATATATCAAATATGGGTCATTGTGTAAAAAGGTGCGCCCAAGTTTATGATATCTATAACTTTTATGAGATACTTGCATCAAGTATTAACGTTTAAAGCATATGGATTTTTGTCTTGCGTTTCGTAAACGAAAGGAGGATATTTGCACTCAATCACAGTTCTTATTTATTCATTCAACAATTCACCAGCAAATCAAAATTAATAAAAACTACACCTATCAATTTATAATATTCATTTTTTCCACCATCATCCATCATCCGAATGTAATTACATTTGCAAAAAAAAAAAAAAGGAACAAAAACTTTATAATAAATTCACTGTATCCAGCCATTGGTGAAACCATTCACCCTGCATCGAAATTCACACGGAATTTCTACAGCCTAATTATCGAATACCCTCCGCGCACCTTTTCCTTAAACGGCGCCGCCGCGTTATTGCCTCTCCTCCATCCCCTCATATAACGTCGAACATAAATTAGATCCGCGCCACCGCGATTCCGGGTGATCGAGCCGCCTATTGGTCGTCGCAAATATGCCTCGTGATCTTTCGCAAGATCGAGCGAGAGGGTTAAACGTCCCGCGAGAGCGAAATCGTCGTTATCACGAGCTCGCTTCGCTCGCATTGTGTCTCGCCGGCGGCCATATTCGAACGATATTCGCGAGCCAGATCCCACATAACCGTCGTTGTCCCCATACAACGTGTTGTGTATATATTGCACGTACGTGTGTATATACGCGCGGTAAACACGGAGAAGGGGAGTAAAAGAGACACACGGAAAGCGCACGTGTGTCTCTTGTACAAGGAGCAACGTGTGATGGACTTTACTCCGCAAGCCTGCCCGTTAACAGTTTTTTTCCCGTTCTGCCCCGGGTGCAACCCTATTGTTACCGGGTCGAGTCACGAGCAACGACGCTGGTTCTCATTACCATCCGTATCTACGAGGCTTTATCGCTCCGTCAGCCCAACCTAGTTCCTATTTCCCATCGTATCCCGCCTATATCTATATAACGTGGCACGGATCGTGTCGCGGCCCAATCGGCTTTTCCTTAGATTCCCTGCCCGTCTCTCGATCTATAACAACAGCGTGGGAGAAACGTGGGTGCACTTACGTATTGTATTCTCTCTGCACAAAGTGCGCGCCCTGTATTTATACAGGGTGAGTCCTCTTATACTTCTCTGCCGTATTTTCACTTTTGCTTTGTAAATATTTTCTTATTTACTGCGAGTAATTAGGTGATGTGTGAATAGGTACAGATATGTATGATATGAGTAGAATTTTGAATTTATCGGGGTAAGAGAAAGAAAAATAAAATTCGAGCTAATTAATCTTTTAGCCCAATTTTGCTCCTCGAATATTCTTAAGGCTTGAGGCTTGTAGAAAATTAGTGCAATTGCATGCTCCAACTCTTTATAAGTAAATATTAATACATATTAATTTCGACCAGAGATGCTTATGCTTATTAGTTATTTTTTCCTATACTTAATAAATTCATCTCTGAAATGTTTATACGAATCATACAAAGTGGCCAAGTTAGAAGGTTCACCCTGTATACATTCATCAGATCGCTCCAGCTACCACCGATTCGAAAAATCTCGTCCTTGATCCTGTTTACAACCCGGCGAACGAACGAAATTGAAATGATTTCGTTCAGTCACGCACGAGTTGGCCTATCGTGAGAGTGTCTCGGCTAGATCGTTTCTCGGTTGACCGAGCATACCACCGCGAAGTCACTTACGGCATGTTCAATTTTTCGTGGGCCAATACATAGTGATGTGATAAAAGGTGTGCTAGGTTGAAAAGATCGAAGGAGGAATACGAAGGCGAATCGAACTCGAACGGTTACCGCAGATAAATCTGAAGCGGTCGATCGAAAGGTTTCTCACGTCCCCTGATGGTCGTGTCATCTCGAAGACCTCTGTCGCCTTTGATGAGCCGCGATAGCGCGTCAACACGCCTTTCGAGGATTAATTCGCTTTCCCTTCCACGCGGTAGTGAAGTTAAATTGGATTTTCAGCACTGTGTTCGGTGAGTTCTCGATTCCTTTTCGAATTTATAATTGGAAGAAGCCGATGGATAACGGATTGGCGATACAACAAAGAAAGATGGCGGAATGGTCACGGAGTACCATTTCGATTTAATTCGGTTTTGAGCGATTTTTTAATAATTTATGCAAAAATTACAGTGGTATTTATACAATTTTGTAAAAAAATAAATAGAGTTTTACCAATTATTGGATAAATTAAAATATTGGATAAATTGGTAATAAGTTTTCACGAATTCCATTTCTCTTAAAATTCTTTGAATTCTTCTTGAGAACCTGTACGCGATAAATTCCGCGACAAAGCGAGAATTCACCCTCGTTTCGTCGAAAAGAATTCGACTTCGGAGAACTAAAAGGGGGATCGCCCCATTGTTTCCAACAATGACGCCACTTCGTCGATGCTCTTGACTGCTTTCGAGTGACCGTTTACGCAATACGTTGAGCAGACTCGAAGATTAATATGTCGTTTCACGGGAACGTATTTCGAGAGCCACGAGAAGAACAACAAAAATTTGCATTCGTGTGGATAGACGGTGAAAGACTTACGATCGTTTTTTTTTTTTTTTTCTTCTTTCTTCCACGTTTCAGACTCTGAAATTGTATCGGGAGACAACTTCTTCGACGCTTTGGACAATGGCGTGGTGGTGTGTCGATTGGCGAGGGTTATACAGGAAAAGGCGAGGACGGCGATCGACGCTGGAAGAGCGAAAGGGGTGAGTAATTCTTTTGTTAAGTGGCTCGAAAATTGGATGTGAATCAGTATTGATCGAAATGTAATGCGATTTTATTTGATCTGATATTTTTTGACTTATTCTCCGTACAATTGCATTTTCTTTTAAATTTAATCATCGTAATTAATTCCAATTGAAAATTGGAAAAAGTTTATCGAATATTTTTATGACGATTGTTTCTCTTTCTATATTTTTATTTTATAGAAAAACAATTACTTTATTAGCATCGTATTTAAAAACATAGATACGCTCCTACATTATCGTTTTTATCGATGGAATATTGAAATGCGTGCAAAATGTTTCCAATTCCACTCTCAAAAGATATTAAACTTGAAACATTTCAATTATAAAAAATTTATATGTTAATAGAGTATTCAATGATTTATGACACACAGCTGTTATGTATTAATAACAAAAGTATCAGATTAGATTGTCCATTCCATTATCATTCTTATCACATCCTAGATTAATTTTTCAGCCCCTACCGGTGATAAAAGGTCGTTGCTGGGAGAACGCAGCCCGTCGCAGTTTCTTCTCCCGCGACAACATGGAGAACTTTATACAATTCTGCAGGCGTCTGGGCGTGCACGAGAATCTTCTATTCGAGAGCGACGATCTCGGTAAGGAAGATTCCCCTAATCAATCTTAATTCCCTCGAATCGACTCGCCCCGTATATCAACACGTTCCCTCGGATGCAGCTCGGCCGCATTCGAGCCGATTAAAACCGAAATCCCGCCAATTACGCCAGCTGACTGCCGCGCGCGTGGCTTATGCAAATTCAAAGCGGCCGCGAAAGGAGAGCAATCGGCGCGAATTAATCGTGTCTCGCGGTGGAAACGATCGAAACAAGCCGTTTTCCCCTTCGCGCTCCACCGACTTCCAACGAAACGAAAAAACAATAAGTGTTGGTGATGATGCAACCGGAAACGGAGGAGTTTCGGAATTGCGTAAAAATCGGTTCACAACGAAGGAAATGGATCGTGAATGTTTGGAAAAAGTATGAAAAGAGTATGGATCGATGGTATCTGTGAAGGATTTCTTTGTTAGAATTTTTTTTATTCTATGTCGACAGTTTTTTGTGTAGTGTTGATCGTTAATGAATATGACGTTAGGAAATAAAGGCGTTCTTATAGAAATTAGAAAGTGAATTTATACAGAAGTTTTTTATTTTTTTCGATATTAACTTTTTCTTTCGACTTTTTTGTGCTTAATTATGCGGATTTAATTGAAGTGTTGTGAATGGAAACAATAAGAATGCCGCAGAATAAGTTTATTTTATTTCGAAATTTACTTTCTTCTTACTTTATGATAATAATTCGAACTTTCGAAGCTAGTGATCTCTAGATTCCTTTAGATAGGTATCTTTAGTATCTTTTCTCTTCGATAATATAAATAATCACCACGAAAGTTTCTTCAATGATAATTATATTTATTTCGATCGTTAACGCAATATCTAATATTGATAATGTTAATGCAGGATTTTAAAATGATATTACGTATGTTAATGTGTATTTTGTACGAAGAAATACACACATGGCGTGTCAAGAGTTAATTTAATACAGATTCTATTAATAACTTACGTTTCTCACATGTGGCGGACTGAGAATCGTAGAAGTATAAGTGTCACATCACACATTATTATGAAAATTATTATAATATTAAACGTGTTAATTCAATTCACTATTTTTTTTTCTTATTGAAAAACAGATATTTTATTATCAATACAATGAAAAAGATTTCTATTTACTCTAATTTTTTAACTCGTATACATATTCCTTATATCAATTCAATGCATTAATATGGTACGATACCTGAAATAGAATGTCGTTGACTGGTTAAATTCAATCTGGACATAGAGCCTAAAATGCAGCTCGATACAAGTTGGACAAATATAATGGCGGAGCTTTTCTTTTTCGTCTTTGTTTCGTTTTGTGGAACACGTCGTGTTTGAAATTCTTCTCCATTAGAACATGAAACCGTGAATCTAGATTTTCGTGTCAGAGCCTCGTCGTCGAGCTAGAAACGTAAAATCATCAGAAATGTACTTTTATCGTAGAACAAAGCTTTTTTTTTTTTGTCACTTTACAAATCCATGGATCACAAAATACAAATGGCTCGAGGGAGTAATTGAAATGGATTTAAAAAGTTTGAATATCTATCATTTCTCTCGAGAATGAATTTGTTTGAATCTCCATTAAAAAAAACAGAGTTCTCGTATTTGAAATATTATTATTATTATTTTACTTTTCGATTAAGAAAGAAATTTTATTCTCTTCGATTATTTGAATGTTCATCCCCGTTTTCCTGGAATAGATGTAGTTAAAATTTTATTGTGACGAATATAAAGACCATTTCGTTTGGTTAAAGTGATCTACTTGAATGAATAAATGAGATGTACCACGAAATGTAGGCTGAATTGATCAATTACAATTGGAGTTGAAGAAGGTCGAGGGTGTCACCGCTTATGTTCTGTAAATAGAGTCTACATTTTTTTTCCCCTCTAGGGTAGATGAGACGATCGTAAATTCTCGCTCGTTTCTAGTCTGACTTGCGATTTTATCCTGTGAATAGCGTATTAAATAATATTCTGTAAATAGTGTAACAGTGATACATTGATTTTCAAATAAGATTTTAATTCTAAATAATAAATTTAAAAAAGAAATTTTTTTTTCAACCTGTACGTTTCACCTGACTTTAAACGCGAATTGTAACGATTTTTATGCTCCGATAATCTCTCTCGTTTCTTATAAATAAATATGTAACCGGTTACTGTATAAACCGTTTTTTGATACATTCTAAATCAGTGTATCGTAAATAAATATCTAATTTGATAAAACTTGCAAGTTAAATGCATTTTAATTCTTTTTTAATTAGCGATTTTTAAGCAAACGATTTCTATTTTAATTTAAAATCAAAAACGTACAAATTACCACGTGTACCATTTATCATCAATTTAGCATATCATCTATTATCTTAAATTTCTTATTTAAGGTCTTCTTTTTTTGAGGAATAGTTAAAAGAAATTCGATTCTCCAGTTCTTCTTCACATATGTTTCAGCGCTTATCGTATTAAGTTGCAAAAACACTCGAGGGATACGATAAGCTAAGAGGGATGCTCTTTGAGAGCAATAGCTCTGATAAGTAATGCTCTCATATAAATTTCCGTCAAGTGAAAGAGCGTGAAAAGTTAATAACATGTGATTTTTAACAAGGATTACTTTCTACGTTAAAAATATCCCATCCCATCGAATAAAATTTTCTATTTATAACATTATTATATTTTTATTTATCTGTGAAACGCACATTAAAAATATGTGTGTCACAGTATTATATTATATCCCATCGTCTTTAATTTTAAAGTTCTACATGGACAGCCGAGAAACGTTGTGTTGTGCCTGTTGGAAGTGGCCCGACTCGCGTCGAGGTATTCCGTCGAACCACCAGGACTCGTGCAGCTCGAGAGGGAAATCGCCGCCGAACAAGAGCGAGATCTTCACTGTCTGTCTGATAGCGGTATATCCCGCAGCAGTCTGGTTTCTTGGCAGTTTCAATCACCGTCACCGACCGCAACGCCCAGACCTCCTTCAGAGAAGATCAAACACAGCAGGTACGTGCGTTTTCATTTCCATTTCCTATTTCCATTTATATCCTCTGCTCTTGACAAGGTTGTTACCGTGCAATTGATACTCGATTTATATTTATCTCCGGAGAGAAGATTACACAATTAGTGATAATATGATTTCTGGTGTTTGTCAAATAAAAAATGAATCGAGATTATATAAAGATAAGAAAAAGTAAGATTTTTTTTTTTTTTTTTATTCGATTTAAAATCGTGATCTACATTCTAATAATAATAATAATAATAATAATCTTAAAAAGAGACGTGACGCGAATACGAGTGTGAGAAAAACCGAAAATCTGGTGACAAAAGAGTTTCTCGAGAGTGCTTCTGATTAACATCTCGATTCATTCAGAGTCTCTAGTGGTTGAAATTTAGGTAACGAGACAAAAGAACCCTCTCTTCGATTGTTCTTCAACCCAATTTCGGGGGATATTTTTGCAGTTCAGCATCAGAAGTCGCGTTGACGGCGACAGGATGGCTGGATCCGAGCAACGGTGTGACGCACGAGCCCGAAATGAGAAGGTCGATGAGCGATAATGGGCCACCAAAAGGTAGCGATGGGGAACCGAGCGACACGACCGAGGATGACTGGTCACGTGGAAGCGCGGAGGATCCGGACGAGCTTCCATCGCCGACTAGTTCACCTTTGCCCTCGCCGGCCGAGCCACCAGAGCACACGGGTCCAATAACGGAACTCGATCGCAAGGTACGGTGATTTTTTTCATTCGATTCGTGAGAAGAAAATTGTAAAACTGTAACTGTTGGAAAACGAATAGTGTTATTATGTTTATTTTATTCGTTTGTAAATCAAGAAATCTTGATTTTTTTTTTTTTAAAGTGAACTCCTTCATTCTCGTAGTAATTGCACCGATACGTATCTAGAATCGTAAATTTTACTTATGAATTAAAATGCAACACTTTATCAATGCATATAGCATAACAGCATATGAATAATTTTTTTAACGGGGGTTTTAAATTATTAATGACGAATTTCAATTAAATTTTCTGTTTATCGACTTCTACCATTATTGATTCAACTATTCATGCATCGATTACTTTCTATTAATTCTTATATTGAAAGTTATAAATAAAACAGCAATTTACTCGAGTACACGATAATCCAATTTCAATAATCTCGAGACAGGTTTAAAAATTTCTTTTTTTTTTCACTATTGAAGATCATTCAGAAATACCAGAAATTAAATCAACAGAAAAAAATCAAAATAAATTCAATTGAAATCCCCTTATTGCATTTTACTTTTTATCTTACATAATATATAAAAAATTATTCGTTTCAAAATATTGCATTCATCATTAACTTTGCTCAAGAATCACTCATTCAAAAATTACTCACAAGTGCAAAACCCTTTATTATCCAACGAACAATGGTCGCCATTTTTTCCTTACCTGTAGTTTAATTGACACGTAATACCAAGCATTTTATCTCAAGTGTTAAAATTAGTGCTCTACATCCTTCGAAAAAATTAATTGCATTTCTTACGTAAGAAATACAGGTAACATTGACCACGAGCGTGCAATTTACTGCACACGAGCAAGTTGCATCGTGTCACGTTCACCATGAATGCCGGCCACGAAGAGAGGGAGAGAAACAATGGAGGCGAACGATCGCTTTAAGCTTTTTCACGTATGCGTTTGCATCCTCGCGTGTCGGATTCCTACATGCAACGGAGCGGATGTTCCGAGAGGTCTTTGCATCGACTTTCCCCGCGACACGTCGAACCGATTTATCTCACGGTGACGGACGATCACTCTTCGTCTGTCTGGAACGTAAAAATATGTCGCCTCGATATGCGACATAGCTTTTACATCGTGATATGACATGCTCGCTCGTTTTTTAGGTGAGAAGAGCTACAGAGGCTGTGCAGAGACTTTGCCAGTGTCCCTCCGAGAGATGCTCCAAACTGAAGGTGCGAAAGGTTGGCGAAGGACGGTATCATATCGCTGGGCGAAATGTCTTCATCAGGGTACGTACGATATTCGTTTATAAGTAAATAAATAAAAAAAAAAAAGTTTAAAGTTTAAAAAATTGCGAATGAACGAAAAAAAAAGAAATACTATATTTCAAATTTGCTCGAACCGGAAGAAACTTTTTGCATTTTTTAACTCGTTGACGAATTGAAAGCGCGTCTCTAATTATGTATAATAACAAATATCCGACTTGTTCGCAGCTTTTGAAGGGGAGACACATGATGGTCAGAGTAGGCGGGGGCTGGGACACCTTGGAACATTTCTTGGCGAGGCACGACCCTTGTCAGGTGAGGACTCTCAACGCGAGCACGCCGCCTTCTCCTCACGGCAACAAGCACACCAACTTTCTTCCCATTCGCGCCAAGTATCGCAGTCCTCCGCCGGAATCCGTCTCGGCCCGCTAGCCTAAAAGCACAGTGCCTGTTACAAATCCACGCTATTTCACGTTCATATTGCTGTTGGTTCGTTTCGTACAAGTAGAGAAACAACACGTTCGACAGGGTCAACTCTCGTTCCGCGTTTCTGTTTCTGAAACATAAGAGGTTGCAAGGATACCAAGCTGATAGATTGAACCGCGAAAACATATGTCATGCTTGAATTCTTTATGGAATAAAGAAAGGTCAGTAGCATTTTTGGAAAACGATATATCTTCCTTCTTTCCAACCACTGTCGCATAGTGTGTTGATCGATATCGAGGGTTTTTTCGGATATCATATATGAAAAACTATCAGCCCAATGTATCTTTGTGCTACTCTCATGATTTATATGCATACACTAGATTTATGTACACCATTATCTGTCACATATGTATAAATTATACAGAGGATGGCACTATTTTTTCTTACATTTAATACGCCTGGGAAGCACTAACATTTCACGTATGTTCTAACAAGCGTGTTAATATGTCATCTTTCTTTAATATCGAGGAAACGATATTCCTTGATATTCCTTCATTTTCATATATGTATAAATCTTGACGAATCATGTATATTGTATAGATTTATTTACGTTCACTCGTTTTTTTTTATACACTCATATAAGGTTATATTTTGTGTTTATATTACAAGCTATGTACTATACATGTACGTATAAAAATACGACTTGCGTTTATTTATACTTCCTTATATATTCGTGTAAGTTGTTCATTTAGGAATACAAAGACTTGCCTTTCAATTCGTAAACGTTTAAGTGTCATGCATTCCACGGATGATAGGCATATTAACGCTTGATTTGGAAATTATCTAACAGAAATAGATGGGAGGGCAATGCACCTGGTAGAGGTAGTCGTAATACCGCAATGACCAAAGTTTGTAATGGTATACATATACGTCGAAACGACCACGGGCAATAATAGTTTATCGGAATATCGTTTATATCGAAGGTAATGATGAACAGTCTGTCCATTGCGACTCGAACAACTTGCCTCAGTTTCGTAGTCGATCTATGCGTATAATTAGAAGAAAGTGCAATTAAGGACTCAGGTAATTTTAAATCGATGTTTATCAGGCTAAATAGAATTACAGAAAATTGTGCTTTTTGATCGAACGACTCCGTCTTTTGTAAAAATGCAAACTTTAAGGGATAGATAATCGTTTAAGAGATCGCGGGATTTCTGCCTATTTTATGGACAAACGAGAAAAAAAGGTAAAAGGAATACACGATAATAATTACTTATTTGTACTTGGTCATTGCTGCGGCCCATATGGGTGAATCTCGTAGTGCACTTAAATATTTTTCGCAATAAACAATGTAAGGCACATAGATTATAATAAATAAAAAAACAGGGTCGGTTAAATCGATTAATCGCACGCTTAAAATATTTAAGTATTTATCGTTAGATTATTATGAAATAATCGTGTCAAGAAATTGACTCGAAATATCATTATGCTTCATGTTCAAAGAATATCTTTGAACTTTTTTCATTATTAAAATAAAAATCTAACTTTTTACATTATTCTTATAATTATATACCGACCCTGATGATAATTCTTACACTTTGGCACATAATCGATACATATTAAATCGGCTAACATGCAAAATGCTTTACGATAACTGCCATAATATATGTTTTGTACTTTTATAATAAATACATAGGATAAGGAGTAACAAAGGACGTATTGTATCGAAATTACAAGGCGACGTGTATTTATTCGGTTCACAGAAATGCAAGGACACAGTGTGCAAAGGAATACCAAAGCAAAGAAATATACGACGAGCAATGTCGGCACGTTGAGGCTATTAACGTTGTCGTTCAGAGCTTTTTGTTTTGTTAGACCTTTTCCTTTCTCTCGTCTAAATTGATTTTGTACCATAGTGTTATTTTTTTTTAAATTATTATTCGACGCGTAGTCTGTAATCGTTCTCTACATATCTGTTTCGTTCTTTACATATTTTATTTGCAAAGTGTATTTATTTGTAAATTATAACAGAATCGATTGCAAATGTAATGATAAAAGCAAATTTATTTCATAGTGTCATTATTACTACGCGCGAATGAAACTATTCCGCCATACTATATTATTATTATCGTAAATGCGTTATTTGATAAGTATATATATACTACTACGGTTAAGTTGTATGTACCTGTTTAATTCGACGCAGAATATTTTAAAATATTTTTCGTCTAACGAAATTTTATATTTGTGGATATCACGCGTTTTGTTTATATTAGTTGCTATCGTGTAAATTCATTTATATAATGCTATAAGTTTTGCAAATTTTTTTTGTTGAAAAGTGAAATGAAGTTTAATTATGAATGAAATTATAAATATTTCATTGCACGATAGGTATCTTTGACACTATCCACTATCCAAAATTATATTTTGTTTATTTTCTCATGATTCATAATGTGATATGATTATATCATATATTCCACTTTTTTACTTAATGTTAGTAATCAAAACATGCTTTTGTGAAAGTAACTCATAACCAGTTCGTATATTTCATATAACGTACATACATATGCCGCTAATAATGTTAGTTTTATTTAAGTATGATACTATTATGTTAATTGTTATATTTTGTTGAACAATAAAATATTTAATTATGAATCTTTTAGATATTTATACTATAATTAATTAAAATGAATGTATTTGTAAGTAACAAATATATCTTTATTTTTTTTTTTTAAAGTGCACATGTTAATACAAAAAATTAAATTTGGTAAAAATCACTTTTGTCATAATAGTCAGTCTGATATCTAATCTATAAGTAAAGAAATGCGTAAAAATACAATAAAAATTATAATGTTTGGGCATGTTGAATAATTTAATTTCAATTTTAGTAATTGATTGTTACGTGATTAAAATAATAATAGTCATATATATATATAGAGATACAAAATGTCGCATTTATTTATAGTAGTGTCAATTTTTATTTTTTTTTGCTTTTACCTAGTGTTAATGTGTGATGCTGAGGTTGTTGAGCGAATTGAGTTTTTCGCCTATTGAATTCTAAAATATCATCCTCGAGTTTCTTTCTACTTTCTTCCAGCTTTTTCTTTTCTTCTGTATGATCTTTTTTCAGTTTATCGAATTTATTATGAAGCTAAGAATATATAAATACGATTATATTATAGAATACATATATTAAAAAAAAAAAAAAGTAAATTAAAAAAAGCGGAAAAAAAGGGAAAATTTTTTTATTTTTTTTTGCTTTTACCTAGTGTTAATGTGTGATGCTGAGGCTGTTGAGCGAATTGAGTGTTTCGCCTATTGAATTCTAAAATATCATCCTCGAGCTTCTTTCTACTTTCTTCCAGCTTTTTCTTTTCTTCTGTATGATCTTTTTTCAGTTGATAGAATTTTTTATTAAGCTAAGGAAATATAAAAAAGATTAAGTTATAAAATACATAGTTAAAAAAAAAAAAAAAAATTAAATAATTTTACCTCTTTTTCCGCTTCTTTTAATTCAGCTTCTTTTTCTTTTACTCGAGCCACGAACATCTGCCGCATTTCATCTTCTTTTTGTTGAAGTTCTTGCAAATGGATGGATCTTTTTGCTTCACAGGTTTGTTGAAAACTAACTGGTTTATTTTCACTATCAACATCACTAAAACCCATCTATAAATTATAATTATAAATATAATTATAATTGTAATTAAATCGCTTATAGAAATATTTAATGTAATGCAATGAAACCTGTTCTAATCGCTTTCTACGATATAATTCGTAATGACGACAATGCGTTTTTTCTCTCATATCTTCCATGTTTGTCCTTATCAACATTTCGCGCAACTTAACGAAATCACAATGGGATTCATTTTCCACTATAAAAAAAAAAAATGAATTTTACAAATAGATAAATCATATATTCTAATAATAGCAAACAATTTTTAATTTTACCTTGTACTGTGCCCCATGGATATTGACGAGAACGCATCATTTTATTTCCGACCCGAACAAAATCTGTGCTACCAACTACTGCAAAAGGTACATGAGCATTCATACTAGTATTTACTTCTGCGACGCTTTCGTCGTCAGTAGGAAATTGATAAATATGAACACCATTATTTTGTAATTCAGATATAATTTTTGTCTGAAACAAATAATAGAATATAAAATTTGTAATGTATAAATATATTTATACATTGCTATCATTAAGGTATATACCTTAAACTTTTGTAATTCTGTTTTTGATATTGTATCAGCTTTAGCAATAATTGGTATAATATTAACTTTTGTGTCAAGTTTCTTCATACAGACTAGATCAATTGATTTTAAACTACAATTACATTAATAAAAATTATATATTTAAGCATTAAAAAAAATAATAAATTTTATACAAGAAATATTTTATATCATTTTATATGTCTCACCCATGCCCAGTTGGACAAATGAAATATAAGCAAACATGAATACGACTATCGTGATAAGTTGCCAAAGATCGTTTTATCTTTAATTCTTCTTGTAAATATGCTTCAAATTGAGCATCTATATAATCAACAACAGCTTTAAAACTATCTTCTTTGTTAATTTGATCTCCATATCCAACTGTATCAACAATAGTAAGTTTCAATCTAACATTGCTCTCTTGCAATTCATATGTATGGGCTTTGAGTTTTACAGCAGGAAGATTATGTGAACTTGGAGTAGATTCAAAACTTGTATTAAAGAGAGAATCCATAAGAGTAGATTTTCCAAGACCAGTTTCACCTATTATAAAAGAACAATTATAAACATTAATTATAAAAATTTTCATTATTCATATTAAATTATAATACTTACCAATACAAAGAATATTAAAGACAAATCCATTCTGAACTGATTTATTCACCAATTGATCTGGAAGACTGTCAAAACCAACATGACCAGATAATTTTAAATTACGTATGGTAGATTCCATCTGAAAATACATGGTGAAAAGTATTATAACGATAATAAGTTGACCGGAAATTAGCAGTACAATCCATATACGGAATACTTCATTAAGAATACTGTTGTTATGACAGAGAACCAACGCCCTATAAACTATAAACATTAGATATATGTCATCCAAAGAGTAGCTTTATGTTTATATATAAAAAAAAATCAGTTAAATATAATTCCTTTCAGTAGAGATAATAGCTAAATAAGATATAATACCGGTGTAAAATTTAAAAAAAATGACACCTACCTTGGCACGCTCAACGTCTGCCGACGCCATTTTTACTACTAATGACGCGTGCGTTACTCAATCTATACTTCCCTGTAATAACGTATATATATATACATTATTATTCATCATAATTTACAGTGCTTATTCATAACAGATAAAACCAAATCAAAGAAATATATCAACTATTATTTTGCAATTATTTTTTTATGTATAAAAATAATTTTATAAATATATAACACAAATACTTTCCAAATTTTTGATACGTATTTAATCAATATTACTTGATTATTCTCAACTAACCAACAATCTTACTAATAGACATTTAACCAATAAATTAAATAATGTAGAATAAATTAATATATATAATTGACAGTTAATTTGACATAAATAATTTATAATTATTTAGCGTTGAAATTTATATTCTGTTTCCGTGTGATATTATCAGTATCTTTTAATAAATAAATTTTTCTTAATATTTATTCATACAATTTCAAATTTGTATTAAGTAGTTTATAAATCCCGCCATCTCCCCACCATAGTAGCGCACGCCGCTCAGGTAGGAATTTACAAGCTCAGTTAGTGTTGGTACTGCGACCGCGTCGCTAGGGTGTTTCGCGTTGCCGTACTGGCAAACTCCTCATAACAGTGTCTACTTTCTAACATGGCAGATCAATTTGTGTTGTATTATCATGTGACGAGGAAAAGCTCTCGTTTATAAGACGGTTTCTGTGTAAACTATCGTAGATTTTCCTCGCGAGGAAAACGTGTTGTCAGCTTAAATAACCGTCGCAATGGCGGACATGAAAAGTCCACCGTTCAGTGACATTAAACGGCCCGAGGAGGTGGTGGCGATGGCGATGAACGACAGCCTGAAATTCGCCGTGCTGATCGGGCTGATCGAAGTGGGACAGGTGTCGAATCGGGAAGTTGTCAACACCGTGCTTCATTTGGTGAGTAACAATAAAATTTTATAAATCCATCCGGCATGCCGGTTGTCTATTTCAC